GTTAAAGCCTGCTAACATTACACATCATCATCATCACCATCATCATCATCATCATCATCATCATCATCACCATCATCATCATCACCATCATCATCATCACCATCATCATCATCACCATCATCATCATCATCAGAGGGTCAAACAGACCAGATGAAACAAACTCACTGTTCAGACCGACTGTTGTTGTGATCTTTGATAAACTCATTCCTTTGTAGTTCTTACTGAACCTGGTCTTGGTCTGCTCCAGAAAGGTCTGTGGACACACAGAGACATCCACAGTCAGAGGACTGGACCAGAACACGAGCTGACAGGGTTCTGTTCGACCCCAACAGCAGCTGGTCCACCAGAACCTGAACACTGACTGCTCGTTTACACAGAACAGAACCTGCAGAAGCCTGTAAACAAGACAGAACCAGAACAAACCTGTCTGTTATTAGATACCCTCATCTGTACTTTACCGTTTTTCCTGCATTATCCAGACCCAGGATTAACACGCAGTACTCATCCTTTTGGAACATGTACTTGTACAATCCAGATAACAAAGTGTACATTTTTGGGGAAAAAAATTGTAAACAAGAACTGGACAACTAGTGTTAGCTTCAGCTAAGCTAACAAAAACAAACAACAGCAACACGTATCACTGTCGCGTCATTATAAACAAAGTCAACATAAACACAAAGACTATAAAAGACTATTAACTGTAAACACATGAAACTGACTGAACATTTTTACAGCAGTTGTTCAGTACTACAACAAAACTACCCCACAATTTTTCTTCCGGAAACTAGGAACTCCACTGGGGTCAACACCATTTGTATACCGGAAGGCGAAGCGGCGCGCCGTGTTGGCGGAGCTTAGGTTATATTTCAAACTGTATCATCCCGTCTCATTACGCTGCTTCAGTTCAGTAGAAAGAGCAGCGTGCGGGTTGATTCAGAGCCACGGTCCAAAGCTGAAACGTGTCTAACATTAATGATTAAAGCCAGAGAATCTGGTGAATACAGACTGAACATKTCCCAGGAGGTGATCTCCGGTACTTGACCTTTATTATTTGTCACTTCTTTATGTTTTCGCATGTTCAGTGACTCAAATCACTGACATGGTTCTGATTTAAAGTAAAACTACCGCCCAAAAACGAAAACTCTTCCCGCTTCTCTAAACATCGCAGCCGAATCATAGCCCGGCTGATTGATAAGAAGCGGACCCATAGCTCGCCGCTACGTGGAAACTTCCTGTGTTTTTGTTTTATTTCCGGTCACGCATAAATATAACAGTGCCACCCGATGGAATAAAATACAACTGCATGTTTGGCTTATAATCACGTGTTTTTTTCCCCCTGACTTACATAAAGAAATCCCTTGTTATTTTTTGTTGTCATTTGTTACAGACGGTCAGGCAGCTCTGGATTTGTCTAAATTATAAAGTAGAAAATAATTAACTGTTTTTTTATGCATGGCTCATCTAATTTAATGTTACTTTGACCATCTGAGGAGGAACCCAGTGGAAGTGTCTTAATAAATCCTTGTTCTCTACAAGATTTGTGTGTTTTCACCAGCTCAGATTTTCTGCTAGTTTTGATGCTAAAAACGTTTGTAAATATACTTTTATTGTTGGTAGTGGTTCAGTTTATATGCTTTAAACCCACGCAAATACACAAAATTCTCTCTTTCAGTGCATTACAACTTCAAAGTAGAGGCACTGTGTGTGTGTGTGTGTGTGTGTGTGTGTGTGTGTGTGTGTGTGTGTGTGTGTGTGTGTGTGTGTG